TTAAGAATCAGAAAGGGAATTAGGATGATATAAAAATGATAATTACACTTAATTTCGAATACCTTATGTTCACCATATTCCAAAACATTACACATTGAACGTTTACGACTCAATATTACTGTCGTTAAGTCTGTTGTGAGTGTTGTCTTTTCTTTGTCAGTAAAATACTGGAACCATTTCTTCAAACGCATTTTTCCATGTCGGCTAAAAATAAATAGATACAAAATCTGTTCATATGCATACAAGGAAAAAATATATATATATACATTTAAGAAAGTTATAAGGGAATAAAGTTTGGAAAAATAATTCACTAACCATGTTTATTAATTAAAAACGGTTTCAATATTCTCTCACCAAGAGCAAGGTGGATAGAATTTCATATTTTAGTTTTAGCTTGTATTTTTTAAATATTTAAAGATCACCTTGACGGTTACACGACAGGGTACATCTTATCAAAGAAAAAATTTCAGAGTATGAAATTACTATAATAGAGAAGAAACTCATTGAAGTGAATCAGAATTCATTGAATGTTGAATTAAATAAAAATTATACCACAATTGATATTCATTTTTTTTTCGAATGTTATGGCTTTTCGAATTTTTACAAATAAATTTGTTAGAATAGTTTCCCACATACGGATCAGAAACTTTAGTTCTGCAAGAGAAGACACTGATAAGTTGAACGCTGCTACAAAATATTGTAGTGATCTTGTAAAGTAAAATTATTTTTCTTTTTTTCGAGAATATTACACATTAAAATTACATTGGATAAAATAAAATTTCTCTTTAGGAAACATGATCGGGAAAATTTTATAATTTCAGTATTTTATCCAAAACATCTAAATAATGTATTCTTGGCAATAAGAGCATTTGATATTGAACTAGCAATGATACGTTATTCAGTGAGCAATCCTCAAATTGGTAGAATGCGTATGCAATTTTGGCGAGATGCGATTGATAATACTTTTCAGGTATATTTGATGTTTTCATTTTTCATTCCTCATTATGAATAAGTCATTACTTTAAATGATATAAAAATCTTTTAGGGAAGACCACCTCAGCAACCAATTGCTCGAATATTACACAGTTCCTTGGAGACATGTCAATTATCTCCATTGTTTTTTAAAAGGATAATTGATGAAAGGGTGAGTTAAAATCTCAAAAACTTACAAGGAATATATATATAGATTTATATTTATATTTATATTAGAATATTCTTTTATAGGAAGCAAGCTTGAATGATCCACCATATATTACCACCAAAGATTTGGAATCATATGGTGAGAATACCGCGTCATGCCTTCTGTACTTACATCTTGAGTCTTTGGGAATCAAAGATATGCAAGCAGATCATGCTGCAAGCCATGTTGGAAAGGCAATTGGGATAATTAAAATTCTAAGAGGATTTTCATATTCTGTTGGAAAAAGGAGGATTTCATTACCCTCTGAAATTACTGCAAAGGTGTGATTTAAATCGCAATTATTTTCAACGAGAAACATTTTCTTGATAATGAATATTTAAATATTCAATTTACATGGTAGTATAATATTTCTCAAGAAGAAATCTTTCGTTCAGGACCTGTAAAAGGATTAGAAGATGCCATATTTGAAGTTGCCACATTGGCCAATGATCATTTGCTTACAGCCAGGACATTTTTGCCGAATATTCCAAATAAAGCCTTGCCTGCTTTATTATTGGCAGTAATAAGTTTATGTTTTTTGTTCCAATAATGGTTCCTTTTTGTTTTTGACTTTTCATTACGCTATTCAAATTATTTTAATGAACTTTTTTTTTTTTTTTTTTTGTTAAACATAGGTACCATGCGATTCTTTTCTTAAACGATTAGAAAAATATAATTTCAACATATTTGAGCCAAAATTGACTATAAGTGATTGGAAATTACCATTTAATTTATGGTATAATTTTAAGAAGGGAACTTTTTGATTATTTATACATTTCAAATCTAATTAATAAACCTAAGAAAAATAAAACTTAATGAAATAAAGAATCACATTTTATATCAAATTGATTTTTTATATTACCATTCATTTTCTTCCTCGTATTGGATATCGATGCATTTCGAATGGCAAACACAAAAGAAATAATGCATTAGTCAATAATTTGATTTCTAAATAAATAAAATAACTAGCAACCAATCAGTAAAAAACTTTTTAGGTGCCAATCTCTAGAAATGTATCATTAGTATCGATTTGGTTTTACCACATTTGCGGTGACAGTTTTATCATCATTAATTACATTTTATTGTACATACATAACAAAATAAATTGTCCAAAATAAATTGTCGTTGTTATAAAAGATAAAACACATGCAAATCATTATTAAGATTTGGCAGCGATAGCAAAGTCTTTAGCCAATTCCTTATTACGTAAAATAGTTCCGCCATCTAGTTTAATAACCGAACCTGTTAACCATGCTCCAGCACGAGATGCAAGATATAGTGCTGTTCCAGCTATATCAGCTTCATCGCCAAGACGTCCTGTAAAATAAAACCGAAAAGAATCAATCAAAATAACCTTTTAGAAAGTCACCATGTCAAAGACAAAAGTATAAATTAACCTTGCGGAACTTCTGATATGCTAAGTTTTTGATCTTGATGTGAAGTCATTGGTGTAAGAATTACTCCTGGTGCCATTACATTTACATTAACGCCACGTGGACTTTCAAACAAATACATGTTAAGATCTTTCTTTCCAATAAAAAAAAAAAACTATATCAAAGACAATTTTTCTTACGTGAGATAAACAGCCAAATTCATCGCGAGAGAGTGTACCGCAGCTTTTGTACAGTTATATGCCAAAGATGTATTATAAAATTTACCAACAATACCTTTAAGATCCCCTTCACTCAAGCCAGAGATACTACCCATAACAATGACTCTAGACGGATCTTCTGGTGCATGACTTGCTTTCTCAAGTAAAGGCAAACAACTAAATACAAATTCTTTTTAATTACGAACTAATTAATGAAATTGTCCACATGAATACTTACGCCATAGTCATATGATAAACACTTGCAACATTTAATTTATGAGATTTATCCCAAATATCTTCTGTAATTTTTGTTAAAGGAGCTCCAAATGCAATACCAGCATTATTTATTAAGATATCTAATTTACCGTTTTCTCTTCTGTTAATCTCATTGGATATTTTTTCACATTCTTCTTTTATTGAAACATCAGCTTTTATTGGAATACATTCTGATCCTCCTAAACTATTCAATTCAGCAGCGGCTTTTTATTATTATTTTTTATTTATAAATAAATTTTTATTACGGTAATGATTTTTTAATTTTATTAATTTTATTGGAAATTTTTAATTAATATTACCTTCTTCGAGATTTCTTTGTTTTCTAGAGGCAATATAAACTTTTGCTCCATTCATAATAAAAGCTTTTGAAATCATTTTACCAAGTCCTGTACCTCCACCTGTTATTAATGATACTTTTCCTTTAAGTGAAAATAAATTTTTTGCTAATAACTTTTCTGCCATTATTTAAATAATATACTTTGGTAGTGAATTTTGAACAGTTTCTTTTGTTTTCGGTTTTACCACCAAAATTTCACCCGTGGTTAATTTCATCTGCCCACGTGACTATATAAAGAAATTCGTTACCAATGGTAATTTGGTAATTACCAATTACCATGTAAATATTAGATAATTATTTCTAATATAATCAGAATATATTATTAATCTATCTATTTTTTTTATTTTAGATATGAGATATAACATTTATAAATTATACTGATTTATTATTAAATAATTTATCATAATATCATAAATATTTATTAATATTTAATAATATAACAAAAATAAAAAATATTTCTATTATTTTTTTTTAAAATTAAGTAAAATTTTCAATTGAATAAATGCTATTAATAATAATCTTGATAAATTTTATAAATAATTTGTATTATTTAAAAATTCAAAATTAATGATTTATTATTAAATGATAATTTAAATATACAATATCTAAATTTAGTACTATAATACTATAATATTTAATCTTAATATTATTTTAATAATATTTAATAAATAAGTATTTTATTTTTATTTTTTATTTTAATATTTTATAGTAAGATAATATTTATTATTTTTAATTTTCTAAATTTTTAAAGATTTAATAAAGTAATTAATTAAAAATTTAATTTATATTTTAAATAATTATTTATAAAGTTTTTAATCATATAATTTTAATATAAGTGTTTAAAAAGTTATAATACTTTAAAATTATTGAAAAACTAAAATATATTTTAATTTTACTATGCAATTTTTAATATGATAATTATGAAAATTAATAAAAATAAGTTAAATTATATTAAAAAAATAGATAACGATTATGTTTTTAATAAAATATATTAAAAAAAAAACTAATAAAATTTAATTATTCTTTAAACTATAGACAAATTTACTTGCTTATTTACTATAAATTTCTTTTTGATTTACTTTTATGAAAAATTATTATTTTTAAAAATTTTTTTTTTTAAAAATTTTTTTTTTTAAAAATTTTTTTTTTTAAATTAATTTTATAAATATATATAATATCATAGTAAACTTTTATTTTTTTAATTATATAATAAATAATTTAAGGCTAAAAATTTTTATATTAAAATTTTTATTTTATTATTTTTTAAAAATACGCTAATATAATTTTATTTAATTGCCGATCTGTCTAAGATCAGTACCATATGTCGATCATTTTATAATAAAATTCGTGAATAATAAACGATAATAAAAAAGCTGTTTTTTATATCTCGTGTACATACTATATTTCCACCCATAATATAATGATAAAACAACGTAAAATAAATATTAGTCTTATATCATCAGATGTGCTTGTTGAAAAATACCATTATGGTCCATATTCTCGCTATTGGTGGTAACTTTTACCTAATTCTAAGGAAATTACAACTTATTTTCCTATTCGAGTGAAGCAAACAATTAAAGCAACGCTCAACAATTATGAATTTATTATTACAGTAGTTGTTGGCAATAAAGACAATAATATCTTTTTACCAGATTATATGTGTCAATGTAATGAAATTGTAGGAATTGCAAATGATCTGACTAATGCTATTTCTGAAGTTTATTCAAAAATCTTTGCAACGAAAACTCGCTATTCTGGTTCATTAATAATGGGATGGAATGACGAAAATATAGTAAATGAATTGAATAAAGATGTTCCTTTTACTCCTCATTCCTTTTTACTTGAAAAAATAAAAGTATTTGTATATGGGGTGGGATATTCAACGAATATAGATTGGCATTGTGCTGGACTGGGATATAAATCTTCACTTCTTCATAAATTTGGAGATAAACAGGCATTGTTTGTTTCTAAAATCGAAGAAACTTTATGTACTGTTGAAATTTATCAAGATCAAAAACTTCAAACTACATATGTGAGTAACAATCCAATTGACGTGTGGAAAAATTTAGAATTTATAAAAAAATTCAATGGGAATCAACTTTTTGGTATTGACAATCACATAATAAAATCTCTAAATAAAAAACAAAAAAAACCAACATGTTCATCTCAAGAGTGGAAAGATGATTCTATTATGAAATCACTTTTTGATTTTCATCTAAAACGAAGAACAATTGTGAATATTAATTGGCATCAGTTATTTATAAAATGGGATGAACAAGAAAGTCCTCTAATTGAACTAAAAAATGAATTACATAATATATATCCTGAAAATCATCAATTTAGTATACGCGAAAAAAGTGCATGGCAGACCTTTCTTTATGCTGCTGGTGCCAATAATGTAACTCCTTGGCCATGTGAAGAACAGGTATTATTGAAAGATTTCTAACAAAAAAATCGTAAATTAATTATTATAATAATAAATTTTATTTTTAGTATCAATTTTGGTCAAAATCTAACCATCTGGAACAAGATCATGCATTACTTACCCAATTATATCAAATAAAATTTCTTGTCAAGGATATTTCAACACCTATTAAAAATTCAACTTTAACTTTTTGGCAATGCTTTAATCGTACATTAGAGAATAACAAAAAAAATCAAGATGAAAAATGTCGTGTATTATCAATTATTGCAAATGACTTTACTTATAAAGAATTACAAGAAAATTTAGATGTAAATAATTTGTAACATATTAGTAATTATCAAAATAATTTACTAAAAAACAATTTAATAATTCTTTGATAAAGGTTAGACGACATACCATTTTAGAATCACATAAACATGCGCAGATAAGTGGTTATGATGCATCTTCATTGAATAAACTAAGTTTTTGCCGAATAAAATTTACTACTGAACAGTTGCAGCAATTTGAATTATTTTTTTCTACAAAAGAACACGTTA